AGTTGTACTAGTTGTAGTAGAAGAAGTCGTCGAAGAAGCAGTAGTCGCAGTGGCAGTAGTAGTCGTAGTTGTAGGCGTAGTCGTAGCCGCAGTCGTAAATCTAGTACTAGTCGTACTAGTACGAGTCCAATTACTAGCGGTTAAACAAGTAGTGGATTCATATCAGAAGTTGTACTATTAATAGTAGTAATAGTAGTAGTAGAAGAAGAAGAAGAGGTAGTAGCAGTAGCCGCAGAAGTACTGGTAGTAGTAGTCGTAGTCGTAGTCGTCGTAGTAGTAGTAGCAGTTGCAGTCGTAGTAGTAGTAGTAGTAGTAATAGTAGTAGTAGTAGTAGTAGTAGTAGTAGCAGTAGTAGTAGTAGCAGTAGTAGTTGTAGTAGTAGCAGTAGTAGTAGCAGTAGTCGCAGTAGTAGTAGTAGTAGTAGTAGTAGTAGTAGGAGTAGCAGCCGCCGTCGTAGTAGTAGTAGCCGTAGTAGTAGTGGCAGTAGTCGTAGTAGTAGTACTAGTACTAGTCGTATTCGCAGTAGTCGTCGTAGTCGGATTCGTAGTAGTAGTAGTAGTAGTAGTAGTAGTAGTAGTAGCAGCAGTACTAGTAGTAGTAGTAGTAGTAGTAGTAGTAGTAGTAGTAGTAGTACTGTATCATGGTCGTAGTATTATTACTAGTAGTAGTAGTAGTCGTGTACCAACCGTAGTAATGTAAGGCGCAGTAGTAGTAGTATAGTGGTAGTAGTAGTAGTAGTAGTTGTAGTATTAGTCGTAGTAGTGGTAGTCTCGTCGTAGTCGTATCGTAGTAAGTCCGTAGAAAGTAGTTGTCGTACGCCGTAGAAGTCGTAGTAGTTGTATTAGTAGTAAGTAGTAGTAGTAGTAGTAGTAGTAGTAGTATCGTAGTAGTAGTAGTAATAGTAGCAGTAGTAGTAGTAGTGGTAGTGGTATGGTAAAGTGGTAGTAGAATAAGTAGTATTCAACATAAGTAGTAGTAGTAGTAGTGTGTGTGGTGAACGTAGCAGTATTAGTCGTATTAGTAGTAGTCAGTAGTAGTAGTAGTAGTAGTAGTAGTCGTATATAGTAGTAGTAGTAGTAGTAGTATTAATCAAGTAGTCGCAGTCGTATTCGTAGTATCTTAGTAGTAGTAGCAGTAGTAGTAGTACTAGTAGTAGTAGCAGTGGTAAGCTGTAGTAGTATTAGTAAGTCCGTCGTCGTCGTCCGTAGTAGTAGAGTAGTAGTAGTTAGTAGTGGTTGAGTAGTAGTAGTAAAAGCAGTAGTACTAGTAGTAGTAGTAGTAGTAGTAGTAGTAGTAGTAGTAGTAGTAGTAGTAGTAGTAGTAGTGGTAGTAGTAGTAGTAGTAGTAGTAGTAGTAGTAGTAGTAGTACGGTAGAGGGAAGCAATTCGTGAACACCCCCCTGCCCCCCAAACTCAAATTTGGCACGCGGGGGGGAGACTGCGGTCGTGGTGCAACTCATCAGACCCACCGCCAACTTTGAACATTGGGGGAAGGGGGAGGCGTGCACAGATGAATGTGGCATGAGTGTTCGCTAATTGTTCACACAACACGAGGCCGAACGACCGAAGCCGTGGGGGAAAAACAATGGACCGTTTGACCGTGTAGGGTGGTGGCTATACCGAGCAGACAGGCATGTAGCAGTATAGTAAGTCCGTATAGTAGTAAGTAGTCCTTAAGTATAGTAGTCGTAGTAGTAGTAGTAGATAGTAGCAGCAGCAGCAAGTAGTAGTAGTAGTAGTCGTAGTAGTAGTAGTCGTAGTAGTAGTAGTAGTAGTAGTAGTAGTAGTAGTAGTAGTAGTAGTAGTAGTAGTAGTAGTAGTAGTAGTAGTAGTAGTAGTAGTAGTATTCGAAGTAGTATTAGAAGTAGTAGTGGTAGTAAGAGGAAGATGAGGAGGAGCAGGAGGAGCAGGAGGAGGAGGGGGAGGAGGAGGAGGAGGAGACCGTCGGAGCCTTCGGCGCCTCCTGGCCATATGGGCTGTCGCATACTGGACGGCTCCATCGTGTTTTTGGGATGTTGGCGTTGGCGTTTCGGGTGAACGCGCCGATCTCGGTCGGATCTGGCTCCCTGGAGAGGCCCAGCACCCTCGTGTGATCCGTTGTCGCCGCGAAGGGTGGCCGCCGACGTCGAAGACGTTCTCCAGCGCGCGTGTGTTGCCCGACTGTGCAGCAAGAAGTTGCGCTATTGTACTTTCTACGTTGCCCCTGCGTGGAGGCTGCACGCGGTCAGGAACGTTCGCTCAGCGTGCCGCGCCGCCGTTTCTGGCCTACCACGCTTCGGCGCGACGCGATAAGCACGTCCCATTTCTCAGCTCTTACCGACATCCTGTCCCACGCGGAGCGACACGCTATGCAAAATATCCTGACAGTAATGTTTCCAGCTGTATGCTTGTAGAGGTCCCTGTTGGGGGTTGCTGGTAGTGCGCTTGCCTATCATGGTCGGCGCTGTCATCACACAGTCGCTCCGTGACAATATTTGGGGCTCTCCGACAAACAGAGTTGCCCTCCGACCAATGTCGCCGATCTAGATGCTGCCAATGTCGCGTTGAGCCGCGGTGCCCAGTGTCCCGCACACGGTCAACGTGGTTTCTCGGCCTGGACGCAGCCTTCCCCCCAGTCCACATTGCTGTTCTCTTCGTGACCCCAAAGGGGGTCCAGCAGAAAGGGGGTGGTGCAATAGATTTGGGGCAAATGTCTTGCAAATGAATTGCGCCAGAGAATTTGATTGCACTGTATTGCAACCATTGTATTGCACGCGCGAGTCCAGCAATACATTTGCGCACCAGAATGTACTGCACACCCCAAACCTATTGTAACCCCACAGATCTATTGCACCAAATCTATTGCACCACCCCCTTTTTGCTGGACCCCCTTTTGGGTCAACGTGGTTTTCCTCCATCCTGAAGGCCCTTTGGTGATTGTGAGCCTCCGAGAGCGCGTCCTGGGTCACTCGCAGGGGCGCGATGATCACCGCCTCCTCGCGCTCTTCGCGGCCTGGGCCGGAGAAAGTTGCTCGTCCTCTGGGGGGCGCGATGACAGCCGCGGGTCGCGGTCGCCGCGCGGCGCGAAGGGGCGCGGGGCTACCCATCGGTCGTTGGAAGTCTGCATTTCTGGATGCCCAGGTCGCAGCCTAATTTTGAGTCGGGCATGTCCCCCTACAGGAGGAAGATCCAAGCATAGTAAAAGAATAGTTTAGCGACGTTTGTTTGTTTCTTTAATATACATTTGTTTAGGTATATATATATATATATATCGATAAATCAGTGTTGCCCAAGTGTTGCTCAATGTTTGGGCATGTTTTATTCTTCTTCCAAAAACTTGCCTGTAGGTAGGAGGACATGCCCGACCTAAGCCTACTGCTGGGGCGCCTTCCCACGTCGAGAGCCGAAGGCTCTTGCCCCTCCCCTCCTGTTCCGGGGGTGCGAGCGCAGACCCACCTCTTCCAACGCCTCCCTCCTCGTCCAACGCCTCCCTCCTACGTGCTTCCCCCACCCCCCTCCTCCAACAATCCCTCTTCCCTCCTCTTCCAGCGCCCTCCTCCGACATGTTTCTGCCCACTTCTTCCGACCTACGGGTGTGAGCGGAGATCCACCTCTTCCAACGCCTTCCTTCTCTTCCAACGCCTCCCTCCTACGTGCTTCCCCCACCCCTCTCCTCGAACAGTCCCTCTTCCCTCCTCTTCCAGCGCCTTCCTCCGACATGGTTCGCCCCACTTCTTCCGACCGGCGGGTGTAGGCGTCCCTGGAGAATCAGAGGCAGGGGAAGCGACACCACCACCATCGGCGGACCACCTCCAGCGAGGATGGCCACGGTGCCTCCCCAAGCTTGGGAGGCCCCGCCGTCCCCGGAAACAGCGGGGGGGGGCACACCACTGCAGGAGGGCGGCTCCCCTCGACAGCGGTGGGTGGGCCGACAAGTGTGGCATGCAGCCGACTTCGGCCAACCCCGTACATCCGATGTCTCGATTGTTTCAGTGCGGCCCCCCCCGGAAGTCCCGACCCTTTTCGCAGGACCGGTTTTCGGCTTTCGCTGCCGAGCTGTTCTTTGACGCTCCCAGGGCCCGGCGAGGGCGGAAACACTTCCGCCTTGGATTTTCAAGACGCTGGATGTCTGATACCTCGCGCCTGTCGCGCCGCCCTGGGCAGTTCGAGCTCCCTGGGCGCGCTTCCGACAAGCCGCAGCAGTTGCATCCACAAGCAAGAATCAGCGTCGCAGCGCAGCACCCCCGCGGGAAGGCCCGAGGTCTGGAGGAGATCCTCGGACTTCGACCCTCGAACTTCGACCCCTCCCCTCCCGTCCGCCTCACCGTTCGACGTCTGCGCTCGGCGATCGACGTCGGGGACTGCCCAGCGCCCCCGAGGCCGCAGGCACACGGTCGCAGGCCAGCGCCCCCGAGAGGCGAGCCCGGCGCTTCGAGGCACGTTGGCAGAGCGTCGCCCCCATTTCCGCCCCTTGGGCCCTTCGCCCCAGCCCCTCCTCCAGCCCTATCCCCCTCCTCCTCCTCCTCCTCCTCCTCCTCCTCCTCCTCCTCCTCCTCCTCCTCCTCCCTCCTCCTCCTCCTCCTCCTCCTCCTCCGCCTCCTCCTCCTCTCCTCCTCCTTCCTCCTCCTCCTCCTCCTCCTCCTCCTCCTCCTCCTCCTCCTCCTCCTCCTCCTCCTCCTCCTCCTCCTCCTCCTCCTCCTCCTCCTCCTCCTCCTCCCTCCTCCTCCTCCTCCTCCTCCTCCTCCTCCTCCCTCCTCCTCCTCCTCCTCCCCTCCTCCTCCTCCTCCTCCTCCTCCTCCTCCTCCTCCTCCTCCTCCTCCTCCTCCTCCTCCTTTGTTTCTCCTCCTCCTCCTCCTTCTCCTCTCCTCCTCCTTCTCCTCCTCCTCTCCCTCCTTCTCCCTCCTCCTCCTCCTCCTCCTCCTCCTCCTCCTCCTCCCTCCTCATTCTCCTCATCCCTCCTCCTTCTCCTTCTCCTCCCTTCTCCTCCCCCTCCTCCCCCCTCGTCCCCTGCTGCGCCCGCAGGCAGGTCGCGGCAGGGACACCTCGGGGGCAGCAGGGCGAAACGCTGGAGCTGCCCGCAGTGCCAGCAGGACGGCCTGGGAGGGAGAAAGGCAGGGAGTGTCGAAGGCACGCGAGTCGTCTTCCACACTCAGGCAAGAACGGACCGTCCCAGCGGCACTATATTCTTGGCCAGTGTTAAAGCAAGCCGAGTAAGCCGAGTAAAGAACATAAAAAGCAATGCTTTTAGAACGATGGCGCGCTGAGGTGATATCAGCGTTGACAGTAGCGCGTGTCATTCGCGAACATCGCTTTGTCTCCCGAGAGAGCGCATGTCGCGAGCGTTTGTGATACGAGGGCGGCTTCGCGAACACTGGGGGCACATTCATGTACGTGGCTGTGCGTGTACGTCCATGTGGGTACCGCTATTGCACTCCTGCAGGCCAGACACCCGGGGCCATATTGCCAGGAAACTTGATACACGTGGTCGCATGTATTTCCAGGTCTCTGCCCTTCTATGGCTGGGGCTTTTACATTTGTACGCAGTGTGGCCTGCGGATGTCCCACGTGTGGATCCAGTTTCAGTTTCTCGGTCGATGGAGTCGGAGTATCGCGTTGCATCGCCGATGCATCGGCGATGCGGCGCACTGTGGAGCCCGCTTTTCTCCATCCCGGCGTCGCCGACGCATCAGGTATGCATCGGTGATGCGGTGCGGCCTTCTGGGCAATCTACCCCTGTCTTACTTAGGCAGCTTCCAGCGCTACGTCACACATGCGTCCCTGCTCGTGCCACGACCCTCGGGCTCCAGCTTTCCGGAAAATCACGGCGCACGTTTTCCCCACGGTTCGGGCTTTGGGACCCTTACGGAAAGATCGGGCTTGGGTCGGGAGGTTTGGCCGTGTTTTTTTTTCCGGCGACGTACGTGTTCCCGACGTCGGATCTCGGTGTGGTGGTTGGATGCACATGACGTGGCAGGGCTGAGCGAGAGTTGGATACGTCCGCATCTGGCCGCTCGTCCTTCCAGCGCTCGTCCCTCGTGTGGACAGGCGCGCGGTGCCCAATCGGTGCGTTTTCCTCCATGATCAGGAGTTTCTCCGATCCGACACTGTGATGCCACCCGACGCATGCAGGTGAGGTGAGGTCGATCGATTGGGTCCGATTCATGTGGACCGAAGTGATCGATTCCACCTTGCACCGACTCAATCGAACCATCCATCGAGCCAGTCGATTAATCTAGCCGATCGCTAATCGAATCAATCGACCCATCAACCTCGAAGTAGATCGATCGATCGGGGCCGTGGGGGTGTGTAATTTACACATCCATGGCTGGCTTCCCCTTGCAGCCCTGGGATCCGATTCGACCGGTCCGATTGCGCAGTCAGTTGCGACGGAGGGCAGCCTTTGGACAGCGCTGGCCGTTCTGCGACTCGGTTGCGCGGACTCTCGCGCGTAAGCTTCCCGCGGAAGGTCGCGCGTAAGCGTCCGCTGTTCCGCGAGGTGTGCCAAGCTGGCGGCCCAGCGGGCTTGTCGCTGTGTCATCGTGCATCGGACCCGTTTCTTTTTGTCGCTCACGTGGGTGCGAGGGCCGATCTGGGCGGTGGCCCAGTAGCGGCCTGGCGGGGACCGTCGCAGTTGCTCAGTGTGTGTGTGTGTGTGTATTCTGGCGCCCCCCCGAAGAGGACATCTGCTTCAAGTGCCGCCCGAAGCCGCAGGAGCCCCGCCTCCTCGGTCCCGCTGGCGCTCCATCCTCCTCAGTCAGCCTGGTCTTCCATCCTCCTGAGCCTCCGCCTGCTCCTCCGTCGCCGCCTCTTCATCCTCATGTTGCTCCTGCCCCTCGAGGCCTCGCCCCGTCCTTGTCAGCCTCCGCTTCCACACGCTCGGCCCCATCTTCGCCTCTCATCCCTGCCCCTTGCTTTTTCAATTGTCATTCTTCCACAATTTTCCGTCCCTCCTTCCTTGTACCTTTCTCAGTCTTCCTTTCTCTGTCCGCTGTCCTTCATATAACCTCCTCCAAACGTCATCCTTATTCATTATCCTCCCTCCTCTCGCCTGTTCCTCCCTCGCCCTCTTTCTCCCTCACCCTTCTTTCTTCCCCCCTCCGCCTCCTTCTTTCACTATCCCCCTTCCCTCCCCCTCCTCCCTGGCCCTCCTCGTCCCCTCCTCATCCCCCTCCTCCCTGGCCCTGGGGAAAGAAGGGATGATAGAGGCTCCCGCCTCCATCATCCCTTCTTTCCCCCCTCCTCCCCTCCCGCCCACCTCCCCCTCTCCCTTCTTCCTCCGCGTTCCTGCCCCTCTCTCTCCTCCCCCCAGGAAGTGAGGCGATGCGTTGGCCTCATCAGCCCGCATCCGTATCCTCCATCTGCTCCCATCGCTCTCTTGCCGGCCGCCATGGGCGGCTCCAAGGCCCAGCGGTAAGAGGTCTGCAGGCATCCTTGTGGCCGCAGGCTCGGCGATCGCGCGAGTCGGTCGAGGAAGCAGGGCTGCTGCCAGCAACTACGCGAGCACAGGGAAAGAGAAGAGGAAGGCGGTGTGGCCGCTGAGGAGGAAAGAGGGGCTGGCGGCCCCCCTCAGATCGTGCAGGCCCTGCAGCGGCATGCTGCGGCACAGACCTCGTGGCGGACTGGTGCAGGCGAGCCTCTCGCGCCAAGCCGGCGGGGCCGCCGCATTAAACACTGATATATTTCTTCGAGCCGGGCCTCTTCGCCCAGGGTCGGACCCCAGGGACCCTCACAGAGGGATCCGGCTCGAAAAGTGGCGCAGAGAGATCGGGTCTGGGGCTCCAGTTGTGATTGTTCACGATGTCCTATTTTTTCTGAGACGTCGCAGGGGAAGGCCTTCTCAGAAGGCGGCAGGACTCCCCTGAGATCCTGGCGACTCATTTTTTGTTGAGCCAGACGGTTTCGCCCAGTTTGGGGCCCTCGGGCCTTCACAGATCGATCGGGCTCGGAACCTGGCGCAGAAAGATTGGGTCCGGGGCTCCAGTCGTGACTTTTCTCGACGCGCCATCCTTTTCGAGACGTCGGACCTCAGGGTGTGTCTGGGGAGGGCAGGGCGGGACGGGCGCCAGGGGCGCCCCGTACGCGGCGGCCCCTCTCCAGGGAGCTCGGCGGGGGCCGCGCCCGAGAGCGCCAGACCACTCGGAGCGGTCCTAGGAGGACAGGGCGCGCCAGGGTTCGGCCGAGGCAGAGGTGCTCCAGATCGTCCCAGACATGCGGCGTCTCGGTTTTTCCGAGGCACGGGCCCCCGACCTCTCGACCATTTCCCTGGGACCGGTTTCTCGTCACGAGTCGTTTTGTTGACGGTCCCGAGGCCAGGTAGGAGGGCCCTGAGAGGCCGAAAACTAGGAAAAAACACCCGTCTCGATGTGTTTCCCCTGAGGCGCCAGGCTGTCCCGGGGTGGTGCCGTCCTGCCCGGGAGCTCCAGGAGCCCACGGCAAAACGAGGCGCGGGGCCCACCCGGGAGCTGCTGCGCGTGCGCCCTTTGGCGTCCTCCTCCGGCCACGTGGCGCGGTGCACCAGCCCCTGGAGGCCGCAGATCGGCGGCGAGCGAAGGGGGGGCGGCGAGACGGGGAAGGCCCCAGGAGGCCCCAGGAGTGCCTCGGGAGGCCCCTGCTGCGTGTTCTGATTATTCTTCTTCTTCTCCTCCTTCTTCTTCGTCTTCTTCTTCCTCCTCCTCCTCCTCCTCCTCCTCCTCCTCCCTCCCTCCTCCTCCTCCTCCTCCTCCTCCTCCCTCCTCCTCCCCCTCCTCCTCCGTCCTCCTCCTCCTCCTCCTCCTCCTCCTCCTCCTCCTCCTCCTCCTTTATCTTCCACTCCCACCTGTTCCCCCAAGGGGTTCCACAACGGTTGGGGGACACAGTGCCCCATAGTTTGGCCCGGCTTTGCCCAACATTTGGCCGCAGGGGAAGGCCTTCTCAGAAGGCGGCGGGACTCTTCTGAGATCCTGGCGACTCATTTTTTTTGAGCCTGACGTTTTCGCCCAGATTGGGGCCCCCGGGCCCTCACAGATCGATCGGGCTCGGAACCTGGCGCAGAAAGATGGATTCTGGAGCTTCAATCATGATTTCTCACGATGTTTCAATTTTTCGAGACGTCGGATCTCAGGTTTCTCAGAAGCTCTCGCGCGTTCTGAGAAGTTTTCTGTGCCCTTGGGGGGCGCTCAGAAAACTTCCCAGAGGGCTGGGGGACTTCCGAGCCTTCTGAGAAGGACTTCTCCTTCTCACTGCCCCCCCGGGCGCGCCGCCAAAAAAATGAGTAACGCGCCAGTCGATTCGATTATTGCGAAGGCCTTGTGGCCGCTGCCGCCGACCCTGAAGGGGAACGACGACGACGGCGATCGACGACAGCGACGGCGACGGTGACTACGACGACGGTGGCGGCGGCGGCGACAAACATCATAACACCTACTGAAAATCATGGACGTTACCCTCTTGGAGTCCTCCTGGGAGTGCCCCAGGGGCTCTTGTGGGCTCCTGGGGGGCATCTCGGGGGTTTCTTGGAGGCCGGGCATGGGGAACACGCCGGCCGCTTCGATTCTCTGCTCGGGCCGCCGCAAGACGGCACGCCCTGCCCCCGCGAGAGGACGGCCGGGTCCTGGCGGTGCTGCAGCACACGGGCCCCGCCGCGCTGGAGGAGGCGACCGCTTGCCCGTCCCCCCCTGGCAAGCCGCCGGCCTGCAGTGGTGCGGCGGCCGGCGGAGGGCGTCTCTTGATACACCTGCACGGGTGGAGATTTTCCAGAAAGACTCTGAGCCTGTTTTTTAGGTCGGGACAGGTTTACTTGCATGGCGCTCGCCCCCCCCCCCCCCCCGCCCCCCCTCCCCCTTGCCCCTCTTGAAACGAATACTAGCGTGCAGGTGCCTTTCGACTTGGGTGATTTCCGCACGTGCAAGTCGTCTGCGGCGTGCTTCAGGTTCAGCCCCCCCCCCGTCCATGCAAGTAAACTTGCTGGAAAACAATCCCTCTTTGGATATGGGGGGCCTCCACTGTATGGGAAGCCTCCACTGTGCCTCTTCCGCGCCCGCGTGGACCAAGGGGTCCAGAGGCGGGTGGCGCCTCCGGCATTTCCTCTGAGAGGAGGGGGCCCGGCGAGGGCGTCCTGGCGACGTGCGGCCGTGGGGGGGAGTGGGTGCGAGACGGAGCGAGGAGGCGGGGGAGTGAGGGAGCGAGCGAGGGGAGGCGGGGGAGAGCGGGCGGGGGAGGGGCAGGGGGACGAGCGAGGTGCGTTCGCGTCATATCTGACGTCCTACCCGTCCCTTGCCATGGCGTAGATATCCTCGCTATTCGCACAGTCGGATGTCGAGCAGGGCGATGATCGCGAGAGGGTACGCGATGCATGGTAGAGCACGGCATGGCATGGCGCAGAAGTGCACGGCAGAGCGTAGCATGCCATAGCATGGCATCGCACAGCGGCGCAGAGCACAACACCGCACAACATGTCATGGCATGACGCCGGGTTCCTTGGAGGGTAAGTGGGTGGATCGTCTTCGAGAGGTCTGGGCTGGTCTGGACTCGTGGCTCCATGTCTAGCTCTTTGGGCTCCCCGAAAAGCTCCACACAAGGCGGGGCTGATGGAGAGCACCCGCTGGCTCTGCTTTCAACATCGCCTTCTCAAAGCGGAAACGGGACTCCCGCTTGATACTTCCTGAAAACGACGGCGCCCCAAAGTGGGGGGGGGGACTTCTGCGGCCCAAAACATCAACCGACCGACACCGAATGTGTAATCCCTTCCAGTGTTTTTTTCGGGAGGGTTTTTGTTTGTAGATGTTGGGGCCTATTTGGAAGGATCGAAAGCGCCCGCGCTGCAGCGGGAGCACGATTTGGAACAACCAGAGGCGCAGAAATGGGGCCAGCGCTTCAGCGGGAGCAGCAATTTGACAAGCAACCCAAGCGAAAACCCGTTCCCCGGGAATCCCGTGTGTAAAAACCAGTACGCGGAGGAGGGCCGGAGATCTTCTGGACTTCAGCAGGGAAGATAGGAGAGAGCAGTATTCATATTATGTCAATGTGAAGTAGAAAGAGGAGGATAAGGAGGGGCATGAAAGGGCGAGGCGGAGAATGAGAAACGAGAAATTGTGTCAGGAGGAGGAGAAGGCATTCCAGGATCATGGGAGGCAGGAAGAGGGAGAGGAGCAGGAGGACAACCATGGCTTCCCGAAGGGGCCACAGGGGCCACGCTGGACCCCCTCCCCCGAGGCCAAACAGAAGCACTGCTTGCGCGTGGAGGTCGATGCGCGTTCGGTGCCAGCGCTCGGAGGGAGGACGGAGCGCGAGGACTTCATAGCCACCCTGGGGGGCCCATGGTCTGGCCGAAGCTCGGCGCACGTCCCCCCCTTCAGGCAGGTCCACGACGGTGCGATATCGACCCGATATCGATATCGATTCCAGCTATAGGCGGTGCCTCCTGGCGCGGCCGATCCGAGCCGGCTCCGAGTCCGTGCCGAGGCAGCCCGATCCCACGCACGTTCCGATCTTCGACCCGCTTTCCCGAGTCGTTGCCCGCACCCACCCCCGCAAGCGCGGACCGCCGAGACCGTGCCGAGGCAACCCGATCCGACGCATGTTCCGATCCGACCCGCTTTCCCGAGTCGTTGCCCGCACCCCCCCCCCGCAAGCGCGGACCGCCGAGTTCGCGCCGATGCAGTCCGATCCGACGCACGCTCCGCGCCGGCCGGCAACCCCCCCCGCAAGCGCGGACTGTGCCGATGCAGCCCGATCCGACGCACGCTCCGATCCGGTCTGGTTTCTCGAGTCGAATTGCCGAGTCCCCCCCCTCCGCAAAAAGCCGGCCGCTGACACCGACTGGAGGCCAGCAGCGGCCCGCCAGCAGCGGCCCGCCCTCGCAATCGGCAGGCCCTGGGCCGCGTGCGACCGAGTCGAGTCGGCCGGGCTTTCGCCGCCTGGCGGCGTCGTCGAGGCGCGCGCCGCCACAGCTTCGGGCTCAAAAGGTCAGGAAGACAGTTGTGGGGTTGGGGGGCTGGGGTTGGGAGAAGTGAGGATATCATTACCCGTAGGCGGTCGAAGGCATCGTTCGTTGCATCCGAATGCTCTTGCTTATACCTTTCATCCTCCCAACCCCTCCCACCCAACACGATAATTGATCCCCTCAAAAGGATGAGATCGAAGATCGAGGTTTCTGAGCGTTTTGGGCCCATGCTGGGCGTGCGGAAGGCCTCTCGTCGCCACGACTGCACTTCCTCAGAGGTTTCGGCCAAGGCGCACGACAGGCGAGGTCCTGGGGGTTGACTGCTCCGGGTCGCCACAGGGAGCTCTGATGGGAGAAGGGCCCAGGTTGTCATTCGCCGCTTTCGACCCCTGCAGGGCCCTTCCCGGGCTCAAGTGTCATAAAACGTCCCGGGATGACAAGCTGGTCCATCGGGACGTCCCTGGGTCCACGAATCATGTCCCCCTGTCTCCCATGCCAAGACAACGGGACCTCACAACGGGACCTCCTCTCCGCTGGAGGCAGCCTTCTGCTCATCGCCCTCTCCTGCCCTGTGGCGACTCGCGTCCCTGACTTCTCACGGGGGCGTCCAAAAGGGGGGTGATGACTAGGGGGGTGAGGGCTCGTGTGTGCGTGTGTGTGTGTGTGTGTGTGTGCGTGTGTGCGTGTGTGCGTGCGTGCGTGCGTGTGTGTGTGTGTGTGTGTGTGTGTGTCTGTGTGTGTTGGCCCGTGTGTGTGTGTGTGTGCCGGACGGGTCGTCCTGGCATTCCGCGCTGCTGTGCGACGCCTGCTTCATCAGCGGGGGGACGCTTCCGCGGCCGCACACTCCCCAGCCGCAGCAACCCCGTTGGGCGCCAGGCCCTCGGGCGTCAGCTTGGGCTGCTGCCTCGCCTCACTCACGGCGGTCGCTCGCCCTCGAGGACCGGGGCTCCCCGTTGCTTGCGGCCCTCCCGCCCTGGCTCTTCGCCCGTTTGGCGCCGCCGCACGTCCCCGCTCGCCGCCTGCCTGCCTCCCGCGGCCCGCCGAAGCCCCCTGTGGGGGGTGGCCTTTCCCGCCGGCGCCCGCCTGGCGCCGCTGCCCGCTGCTTCCCCGCTGCCCGCTGCCTGCCGCCCCCTCGCCACTGCAGTCCACCCGCAGCCTTCCCAAGGGTGCCCCTTCCATCCCTGCCTCTCCTCGGACCATCCTGGGCCACTTCTGCTGCCCTCGCCCCGCCCGCGAGGTGTCGGCAAGGCCTTCCGAGGCCCTTGCATCCGTATCGCGCATCCTTGTGATACGGGTCGACTATACTACCCGTGAGGGGCTGGCGGTTCCTTGCCTCTCACCTCGCGGCTCCCGCGGCGTCTCTCGGGGCGGCATCACTCAGCCCAGCGTTAGCTCGCTCCGCCGGGTTGTGTCTGACAAGCGCTCGAGCGGCCTCTCTGCCCCGACCGCGCATGCCCGAACACAACATGTGTGCGTGCGTGCGTGCGTGCGTGCGTGCGTGCGTGCGTGCGTGCGTGCGTGCGTGCGTGCGTGCGTGCGTGCGTGCGTGCGTGCGTGCGTGCGTGCGTGCGTGCGTGCGTGCGTGCGTGCGTGCGTGCGTGCGTGCGTGCGTGCGTGTGTGTGTGTGTGTGTGTGTGTGTGTGTGTGTGTGTGTGTGTGTGTGTGTGTGTGTGTGTGTGTGTGTGTGTGTGTGTGTGTGTGTGTGTGTGTGTGTGTGTGTGTGTGTGTGTGTGTGTGCGTGCGTGCGTGCGTGCGTGCGTGCGTGCGTGCGTGCGCGTGTGCGCGTGCGTGCGTGCGTGCGTGCGTGCGTGTGTGTGTGTGTGTGTGTGTGTGTGTGTGTGTGTGTGTGCGTGCGTGTGTGTGTGTGTGTGTGTGTGTGTGTGTGTGTGTGTGTGCGTGCGTGTGTGTGTGTGTGTGTGTGTGTGTTGGTGTGTGTGTGCGTGCGTGCGTGCGTGCGTGCGAGCGTGCGTGCGTGTGCGCCAGTGTGTGCTTCTGCTCGGATCGCACGGCCGAGGCCACGAAGCCTCCCAGATGTCATGGCCCCCACGTCTTCTTTTCTGCGTCTCCTGGCCCCCCTCGTCCGAGACGTGCCTTGGGCCGTAGTGTGCTCGCCGCCGCTGCCCAGACATCTTACCTCTTGATGTTTGCCCGTGCCCGAGCGCCCCCGCCCGTCCCCCGGGGGCTGGCTCCGCCTCCCCGGCCCTTTGTGTTGCACTTCAGATGGCCCGTGGCACGGGCCCCGGGAGGCCGAAAGCACCGACGCGATTCCGCCCGGGCTCCGCTCAAGACGTTCGACGTCGGGGATCCTGTTCCCGCTCCTCGGCGCGCCCGACCCTTTCCTCCCTCCTGCCACTCACCCCCGCGGTCTACGCTTAAGTCGAGCCTGTCCTTCCACAGGCGGAACATTCAAGAATAGCCCAAAAATAGTCTGGGAGCGATTTTGCGATTAGTTCTTGCGAGAATGCTTGAGCATTGTTTGATTCCACAAGTGCGTTGTGTCTATTTTGGGTTATGTTTGGCTCAAAAATAGGTATTGGAACATGTTTTGATTAGTTTTGGTCTCCACAGTCCGTCTGTTGGGCGGCGGCCCCCTCCTGCCCACGCCGCCCGGAGATCGCGGGCCGGCGCCCCTCCCTGAGGAGCCTGTCTTTGTTCAGACCACGGCAAATTTTCCTCCTCCTCCCAAGCCATCCTATCCCAACCCAACCCGA